CTGCCTCCTGAGTGCTGGGATTAAAGGCGTGTGCCACCACGCCCGGCTTCATGTTTCATTTTTTCACTAAACAGTACTGCATAGGGGGAAAAATCCATTTCTAATTCCATCTGAACTGATGGGCTGGATATATTCCAGAGTCATTCATACATTCTCCTATGGGTGGGCATTAGGGTTTTCCAAAAAGCCTAGACATGAAGAGATGATGTGGGGCACCCACTTAGGCCCTAAGTTTGCAGTACTTTAACATTCAGTCCCAAGTGGTCTGACTCCAGAGCGCATGTCTAATTATTTCACATCACTGTGCATGCTTGAGCAGGGTCCACCTGGCCATCAGGGAACTTTGACGGGTTCTCCATGGAAAATTGAAGAGAAACATGTTCAGGCTTGGGCAGGATGCATGAGGACTTACAGTAGTTGGGTTCCAGAAAAGACTGTTCTCTGCACTCTGTACCTTGGTCCTGCTAATCTTATAGATTTATGGGAAGCCATGGGCAATGATTTCCCTTAGCTTTTGGACTGCAGTGTTCCTAGATTATAGTTTTTTTTTTTTTTCTTTCTTTTTTTTTTTTTAACCTTTTTATTTGCAGGGGTGTAAAAACACTGAATCTTGTCATAGTTCTTTCTCTGCACTAAAGTGTGGGTCTTTGGGCCCAATTGAAAACTAAATGGTGGGTGTTGCACCAGATCTCTTATCTGATCGTTTTGAGGGTTGACTGTTTGCTCTTCTTTTCCAGGTAAACAGATTCAGGTATTAACGGGCCATCTGCAGTGGGTGTACTGCTGCTCGATCTCCCCTGACTGCAGCATGCTGTGCTCAGCTGCTGGTGAGAAGTCGGTAAGCCTCCAATACTGGGTCCTCAGTTCACTGAGACATGGGGCTCTAAAATGGTAGCCATGTGCATGCGTGTGTGTACGCTTGTGTGACTAAGCTGAAGTCCAGCAGAAGGCACACTGGCTGGCTCTGAGCCTCTGCACAACTCCCTTGCTATGGGCACTGTAGGGTGGAGAGGAGGGTTTGGAAGCAGGGTGCTTCATCACTGGCTTGTTCCGTCTCCAAATGGCACAAAGTGCAGTGCTTCCAACATTTTCTTTTCCCTATGGGGTCCAAGATTTTAAAAGTTACAGCCCATATCCAGATCCAAATTTCCTTTGAATTTGAATCTAATTTGACTCAGTTTGATTAGAATTTCCAATTCAAACCATGCCAGGTACAGTTACTTGTTGAACTTTTTCCTGAAGTCTAGTATATTAAAGTATTTTTATTTTGTGTGTATGAGTGTATTGCCTGCATGTATGTGAGTGCATGCTGTGTCATGCAGTGCCAACGATGGTCAGAAAAAGGCACTCAATTCCCCTGGAACTGGAGTTACACACGTTTGCTAGCCACCATGTGGGTGCTGGGAATCAGACCTGGGTCCTCTGCAGGAGCGACCAGTGCTCTTAACTGCTCAGCCATCTCTCCACCCCCTAAATCTACTATTTTTTAAAAAGTTTGGAACACAAGAAAGTTTGGAGGAACTGGTTTCTGTTTAGTTTTTGCGATTTTACTGACTTTTGCTGGATGGGATGGGACAGTTTAGAAGCAGTCAACTATTTGCACAGTTCAGGAAGTTGATCATTTGAGTTTTGGAATGAAGTTCAAGTGAAAGTTTTCTTTTTTCTTCTTCAAGATAGGGTCTCATGTAGCCCAGGCTGGCCTCAAACTTACTGTGTAGCTGAGGATGACCTTGAACTCCTGATCCTCTTGGCCTGTACCTCCTAAGTGCTGGGCCTAAACACACATCACATCTGGCATTCTGCAGTGCTAGGGATGGAACCCAGAGCTGTGTGCAGTGCTAGGCAAGTGCCTTCCAACTGAGCCACACATCTCCAGCCTCAATAGTTTTCTAAAGGCAAAAAGAAATCCTACTTTAATGATTTTCAGGCTTAAAATGATGAGCTAGGCTGGATGCAGTCATGGGCCAGATTTCCAAGGCCCTATAAGCAAGCTGAGGGGTGGTAAATGTCTCCAGGGTACCACTGCTTTGTGTAGTGGCTCCAAAACTTATATCTGATCCTACTTTTGGTTGTCAGTGGAGCAGGACTGTCCTTGGAGTAGGTCTTTCTTAGCCGTGCTTTCCTGACTGAACAGGGCTCAGAAGGCTCTGTGGATCTTTGCAGTGGGCAGCCTTTCATAAGTAGCCTGACTTGTGCTCATTTGAGGGTTTGGAGATTATCTGTTAAGTGATTTAAACTTGAATGATAGGTTCTGGGAGGGCTCTACCTAGCCAAGGGGCAGAATCAAGGAACTTAGGTACTTATCACTGCAGGTAGTGTCCTAGCACCTTGATTCTGCCCCTCACCAGACCCGTTCCTGTCCCGTTCCAGGTCTTTCTGTGGAGCATGCGATCCTACACACTAATCCGGAAGCTAGAGGGCCACCAAAGCAGTGTTGTCTCCTGTGACTTCTCTCCTGACTCTGCCTTGCTTGTCACAGCGTCTTACGATACCAGTGTGATTATGTGGGATCCCTACACTGGCGAGAGGCTAAGGTCACTCCAGTAAGGACAGTCCCTGCTCTAAATTCATTGTGGGGTGACTGATGAGAAGTGGGTTATATATGTTTCCTTGGAGTCTGAGATGGGTACAAGCATAGCCTGGCTGGAAAGGCATAGCTGGCTGAGTGCTTTGTTCTAAGCTCTCTTTAAGTCTTCTGGTTCAGGAGACCGTCAGTATTTCTGTGAGTTCAGAATATTAAACCTCAGTGACTTTTTATTTCTACCTGCTAATAACTGTAGTACCACATTCAGAGGCACCTCTGATCAAAACTGTTATTGCCAGTATGAATTTTCCTGTTCTCACAAACTTGGTCTACTTTTTTTCCCCTTCATCTCTGTTTCAAGACGCAAATGACTGGCAGTCCTGATGTATCTCAGCCTACAAAAGACTTTCAGTTTGTACCATGGCATGAAAGTGAGGGCTGACCTACTTCGCATAAGGAAATTAGCACAAAGTAGTGCTGGTAACCCTTCCCTCCCTCAGGATGCTTGGACCCTTCAAGGGGCCCTCTTTTCAAGTCTATAGTTTCCAAGGTTTTACATAAGGAGCACAGACCGAGAAGGTTCGTCTGTTGCCTATGGTTGAAGATGCTGGGGGAGGGTGACCATCATTCCAGACCTACTATCTTGTCTCTTTGTAGTCACACCCAGCTCGACCCTGCCATGGATGACAGTGATGTCCACATGAGCTCCCTGAGGTCTGTGTGCTTTTCTCCTGAAGGCTTGTACCTTGCCACGGTGGCAGATGACAGGTAAGGGGAGAGGGGCACTCGAGGTGGCTTCAGAGCAGGTACTTGCAAATAATGGCAGGCACTCCTCTGCTGGCCTCCAAGTCAGTTAACCTGTGAACCTCCCCTTCCCCCCATCTAGGCTCCTCAGAATCTGGGCTCTGGAACTGAAGGCTCCAATTGCATTTGCTCCTATGACCAATGGTCTTTGCTGCACATTCTTCCCACATGGTGGAATTATTGCCACAGGGTATGTATCTGGGAGCCAAACAGATAGGGTGGTTTCTACTGCATATACCATGCTGTCTTTAAAAGAAAGAAAATGTCTAGAATTATCTTGGCCAAGGAAATCTAAGATTATATAAAATTCACATATTCTATCCTATCATTGTATCATTTACACATGCTATTTAAATGTAGGGGGCTGGAGAGATGGCGATAGTTAAAGAGCACTCTGGCTGCTCTTGCAGAGGACCTGGGTTCTAGTCCCAGCACCCACATGGCAGCCAACAACATCCGTAACTCCAGTTCCAGGGGATCTGACGTCCTCTTCTGGCCTCCTTGGGCATTGCACAACATGGGTGCACTCACATACATGCGGGCAATACACTTACACACATTAAAAAAAAGATAAAATACCTAAATGTAATTAAAGACCAACATACAGTTCATGTTACCTAAAGTGGCTGATTCCACAAGGAAGTATCAAATTAGATGACATAGAATTTATATGGGAAATCATTTGTGGCTGAGACTACCATATTATAGCATCTAGAATTGGTAGGTGGGACCATCTGTTTTGCCTTCGAGGGTATTTTTTTTTTGTTGTCCAGACTGGTCTGAAACTCCTGAGCTCAAATCATCTTCCTTTGTCTCACAAGTAGGTGAGACACAGGCATGCATCACATGCTGACTTCTGATAACAAAGAGCCACCATTCAGTAATTAGCCTTTATAGCTCTTGGTCAGAGGTACATTTCAACCTCTGGACTCTCCTGTCATTTCAGGTCAAATCAAACACTACTATCCATCATAATGAGAACATCAATGTCCAGGGTCTACTGTAAGGTGTTGGTTTCTGTTGTTTCAGGACAAGAGATGGCCATGTCCAGTTCTGGACTGCTCCAAGAGTCCTGTCCTCACTGAAGCACTTATGTCGGAAGGCCCTTCGGAGTTTCCTGACAACTTACCAAGTCCTAGCACTGCCAATCCCCAAGAAAATGAAAGAGTTCCTCACATACAGGACTTTTTAAGCAGCGCTAACCATCCTGTTCTTTGTAGCAGAACAAATCTTCCCAGCAAGGGAATATGTGGATCCAGCCGAACTGCTGGTCTGGGTTGTCCAGACTGGTCTGAAACTCCTGAGCTCAAATCATCTTCCTTTGTCTCACAAGTAGGTGAGACACAGGCATGCATCACATGCTGACTTCTGATAACAAAGAGCCACCATTCAGTAATTAGCCTTTATAGCTCTTGGTCAGAGGTACATTTCAACCTCTGGACTCTCCTGTCATTTCAGGTCAAATCAAACACTACTATCCATCATAATGAGAACATCAATGTCCAGGGTCTACTGTAAGGTGTTGGTTTCTGTTGTTTCAGGACAAGAGATGGCCATGTCCAGTTCTGGACTGCTCCAAGAGTCCTGTCCTCACTGAAGCACTTATGTCGGAAGGCCCTTCGGAGTTTCCTGACAACTTACCAAGTCCTAGCACTGCCAATCCCCAAGAAAATGAAAGAGTTCCTCACATACAGGACTTTTTAAGCAGCGCTAACCATCCTGTTCTTTGTAGCAGAACAAATCTTCCCAGCAAGGGAATATGTGGATCCAGCCGAACTGCTGGTCTGGTTACAGTAGAACTGTGGGGTTGTGACTAGAGTGTAGTCAGCTGATCCCAGTGGACCAGTCATGGACTTTTCTCCTCATGGCACATGCAACTCGAGCTCAGAGGGAGATTCTACTTCTGAGGCGACAGAGCCTTACCTTACACCTGTGTCCACTTGTGAACGGTCTTTGTCAATCTAGTGCAGTTATTGATGTTGTTTTGGTAATAAAAGCAAGCAGGCCTCCAGAGCCTCTAGTGGAGGCAAAGTCCAAACGTCCTCAGCTGGGAGGTGACAGTTGGCATATAGCATAGTACCTGCCACCCATTTTTGGACAGCAGAAGCAAGATTAAGGTTCCCCTGCTGTGGTCAGAGGTACTTTGATGTTGGCTAGTGCCTCTCATTGGCATGATGTTTCCGTGGAGCGGTTTGGTTTGTTAACCAAGCTGCAGGGGAAGCAGAGGCTCTGCTCCTGACAGATACATAATTATTGGCTTTTATTTTTCTTTAAACAGTGGTGTGCATGTGCAGGAAATGACAAATGTGTACGTCAGATCAGAGATTGTTCCTCTAATGCATGACTGTTCAGATGGCTCCTGAGTGGTCAGTTGGCCATTTATTTAGCATAATATTTATTTGTATTTTCTCAACAGATGTTAAGGTACAACTGTGTTTTTCTCAATGGTATCTGAAAAGCAGAGCGCTTATGTGGACAGTTGTAAAGCTGTGTCTTAGTTGTGTGGAGTTGGTGTTGTCATCTCTTGGCTCATACTCTTATGTACATCTGTCTGTGGCTTGATCTCACTGGATTCATCTGCCAATTTTAACTGCCCCTAAACAGACAGCTCCTTCTAAGTACTGTTCTCCTTCAGTGGCATGCAGTTACCTAATCAAGAGACCTCATTCAGACAAAATCTGCCTTAGGAAAGTTAATATATTTTAAATTATTTTGAAAGAAATGCAACATCTTATTCTTTGGCTTTTTTAAAATTGATGCTTTATGGAGGCAGTGTTAACATTGTATGTGTTGAATAGAGGAACCTCCTCTATTGCTTGAAGAAAAACATTGCAAAATGAGGCTTTCATTGAAGGAAAAAAGTGTGTGTTTCATTTTTTCCATTAAGAAAAAAAAATCACCTTTTAAAAGTACAGCAGTTGGGGATCTGGGGCTAGATTGGGTTTGATTCTCATGAAATGCTACCTATAGTACTTGGCCATAGCTTCAAACTTTGTTGGTCTCTGTGGAGAGCAAATTCTTTAGATACAAAAGAAAATAAACTTCTTTCTTGATAGTATATAAGCTGAACTTACAGTAGGGCTGTCCTGCAACATACCCATCGTATGTTGGAAATGCCCAAGTCTGAGATATATTTTACCCAGATGATCTATTAAATAGCACAGCTCCCTGTGGAGCCTGTGAACTTCAAGATCATATGGCTGTCAGCTGTGGCTCACTGCCTCTGCTCAGCAGTGTCATGCTCATCACTAGCCCAGAAGACCAAAATTGGAAGTTACAGTTCTAACTGAATGGGTATTAATTCTGTATCATGGTACAGCCAGTTGTAAGTCAAACAATGGTAAGTTGAGGTCTCTTTATAAGAACTGGCCAGCTTTATAAGGAATAGACTCCAAGGAAAGTTTATTTTGCGATGATGAGAGAAGACTGTAATAGAACTGCCAAATGGGAAAGTCAGTATCTTTACTATAATATGAAGCGAGCAAACACTTTATTCTGTGAGGAATATGGCATAAATGTAGCACACAGTACCCAAACTGACCAAGTGAAGTTTATACAGCTACTGGCCCAAAGGTATAGTCTGAAGGCTAACAACATTAGTTTCTTTCCTTTCCACAATAGTGTTTAGAATTTGTTGGTAAGCCTTATTTTAAGACGGAAAATATATCAGGTTTTTTGTTTAAATTCTATTTTTTGAAACAAGGGTGGGAACTTGCTATGTAGACTAGGCTGGCCTTGATCTCTCAAGAGATTTGTTTTTGAGACAGTCAAACTCAAGTGTTTATCCTCCTGCCTCCATCTCCCCAGTGCTGGGATTATAGGCATATTACCATTTCAGGCAAAAAGACCAGTTTTGAAACTTTGTAGCATAATAACTTTCATCAGAAACCCATCAGTACTGACTGATTTAAGCAGATACAGAAATACTGCAAAAGAGTAGGTTCACAAATTGGAGATACTGACCTGGGGTTAGACAACACTTGCATTAGATCTGAGCACCTTTGCTCCAGACCAAACTGGGGTAGGACATTTCCTGTCATCTCAGCAACTACAGAGCCAAAAACAGTTTTTTCCCCTCTAAAAGGTAAGACATTATGGTGTGAAGTCCCTTTGTACAACTTTGCTCCCAACAGCCAGAGTGTTGTCTATGTCTGCCCACCCATGCCTGGAATGGGGAGATGGGGTAGCTGGCTTCATGTGGTGGCCCAGGGCAGCACTTCAATCCATGACCAAGTCCTCTGTTCTGCAGTCATTAGTGGGCCCTGAGACCTGGCCAGCAGGCCTTGGAGCACCTAGGCCTCTGCGACAATCAGGTCTCTGGTGACTTGAAAAGCAGCAATGAGGGAGCTCAGCTGGATCTTCTCATTAGTGCCAACAGAAAGTCTGTACCTGAAGAAAAACCCAAGGTGAGAGCCAAGCACACCCCAGATCCTGCCAAGAACAGCGGCTGCAGCCAGGGGAGAGCATGGGGTTGCTAAGAGCCACCTGGGGTCTGTGTTCCTCTAACATTTTCTTGCCCACACTGATTTAGCAACTTGCCTCAAGCTGATGAGGACAAATTAAACTTATAAAAGTTTATCAACAGCTGGTTCTGAGTTCAGCTTTACCCTAAATGCAGGTAAGGCAGATTTCATGTGGTAAAGATTTAACTGCATTAAGAGGAATTAATATAAAGATATCCTTCCTCTTAACTAAGACATTTCACTGAACTTTGGTTGTAGCACTGGTATGTGTTGGTGGGGCAGGTAGTGGGGTGGTGGTGGTTGGGAGTGTGTTCAGTCTGGGCAGTGAAACAGGACATTGGCAGTTCATCCTGTCACCTTTAACTGCCCTACAGTTAAAAACCACATTCCCAGAGTAGTGATAGGAAGTGACCTAATTATGCATATGAAAGCCAGTGGGAGCAGTCTGGAATTGGCTGGGCTGATGTTTGCTTGGCACCCGGTGCTCTCTGTCTACTTAAATGACAGCTGCCTGCTTCACTGGGGGCTAATGACAGTGTTTACTGAGCTGAGCAAAGTGGAAAATTGAGTTTGTCTGCCTTTCCCCAACTAAGCTCCAGGATGCCAAAATACCTTAAATAGCAGCTGGATAGCTGGCCTTCCCCAAATGACCTGCATGCTGATCTGAAGCAGAGTCAACAGGACCAAGGCTTTGAGGCCCGAGGAGACCCTCAGCTCAGACATGGAACTGATCTGTGCTTGTCCTCCGCATTTCCTCCTGAGGTCTTTAGGCAGAACAGCTTTAACCACACTGCATTCAGTACTGTCTCAAACTAGATGACCCATGTACAAATGAGGACATAGGCGGTGAAACCAGGCAAGCAGAAACCAAGAGCTTCTAATGGAGGAAGGAGCATTCAAAGAAATGAAATCAGGAAAACACTTACTCAATGTCTGCCATTTTGGTCAATAAATGTATCCGAACTGAAGATGGAAAGTCAACTAAGGAAAAAAAACACACAAAAATGAATCAGGTCTGTCACTTCCTAAAAATAAAAAAAGCCACAGAGGAAAAGTCTGAGTTTGAACATCATAGACACACATGGAACTTTTGACAAGTCAACATCAAACAGCTAACAGTAAACAACACAAGTTAACAGACCGCCAAGAAGCTAAAAGTGGTGTATATTCCGCTGTGATCACTATTTTGTGATTCTTCATAGTGTAAAAAAAACATACAGGCTGGGAGTGTAGCTCAGTGGCAGGGTGTCTGCTCAGTATCCATAAGGACCTGAGTTCAATTTCCAGCCCAGCAATTGTCGACCAGATAAAAACACACATCCCAATCCACAGTGATCAACACTGGCAAGTCAATACTGCCCTTGGTGGGCGACAACTCTAAAGTTAACTTGAAAGCTCACTTTACTGTCTAGTGACAAGTTCTGCACGGGCACAAACAGCACTCATGGCCTGATGCAGCTATGTCTGCAGACGGCTGCTGGGAGAAAAGCTTCTCCAAAATGATGGAGGGTCCCTGGGAGCCTCTCCCAAAGCCTGACATTGGTTTTCCCCCTGCAAGTCTGATTTAATCATCTGGGGTAATTCCTGACTACTGCCCAAGCTGAGTATCAATTCACTGAATAGAAGGCAAGCCTAGGAACTTAAAGAGGCAGCTTCCGTAAGGCCATTCTGGTGTACATGAAGATAAATATTCTCCCTCGTTAAGGACAATATTCTTTTAGAAATGTAATTTATGGGATGGGAGAGTAGTTCAGTGGTTAAAATGTACCAGTCCTGGGTTCAGATCCCCAATACCATAAAGAAAAGAGGGCTGAGGCAATAGCTCAGAAGCAGAGTGTCTGCCTACTAGGTGCAAGGCCCTGGTTCAACTGAGAGTGAAAATTAAAATACCCTATTTACTACTGTAAAAATCCCCTTGAGGAAGTAGCCTCCAGGAGTTTATTTCTACTTTCCCCAGCAGTTCCAGAAATTAAAAGCAGCTTTTTGGAAGAAAGTTGTAAACAGCAATTCAGAACTGCTAACAACGAAGGGTCAGACACTTCCTTTTCTTTGCTCAGGAACTGAGGCTGTATAATCTTTGCAACCATCCCCAAGTGTGTGACTTCCCTGGTTCCTCCTGAGGGATTACCATAGTTACCTCTGTGCACAAACAAGTGAATCTCAGTCAGGATGTCATGTAGCGCCAAGCCCTTCAGAGTTTTCAACTCCATGATATCTAGGAGGAGCAGCTAAGGTGAAGGAAACGTCAGAACATGTGGCAGAGGCCTGAATCCCAACCCTGGTGAGTGACTTCAAAGCAGGGCTTTCATCCCAAAGCAGCTTTCCCTCGTATGATTTCAAGCTGCATACTGGGCCCCAATTCTTACTTTAGCTGTTTTATCACTGCCGGCCTTAGCTTTTCATGTCACAGCAAAACAAGGTCCACTTTAATGATTGCCTCTTCTACCTCAAGGCCCAACTGCCTTCTTCCCATCTGTGAGCAAAGCACTTTCAGCCTCACACAGGCCAGAGCCACTCAGGAAGACAGAAAAGATGCTCTCCACCTGCAGACACCTGCTCCCACAAGCAGACCAGCTGTCTGTCCCCTGGGAGGTGAAGGACTGGGTGCAGCCTGGGCTCCTTGGCCACTGTTGGGTCTCAGGGCTTGCAGCTAGCTGGCAGTGGGCAGCAGAAAGGATACTTCTGTAGGCTGTGGTGAAGTCTTGATTCAGCATCCAGTCAAGAATGTTGGCAATGTCTGTCTTGAGCGGGTGCCCAGTGCAAGTGTAGACGCTCTCCTCTGTCACCTTCCCAAAGGCCATATTGGTACTCTGCAGACAGGAAACTCCAGGCTGTCAGCAACTGCCCTGCTGTAGCAGTGACATGACTTGGGCCCAGGACAAGGTGAAGCCTGTATTTTCACATTGGAAGGGCACCCCTCCTGAAGATGCTGCTGCTTGGCTGGGGGTCTGCAGACCTGTCCCCTACCTTCTCCTTGTTGTCTATGATTCTTGCACTTAACACAAAGGGCAGGGGTTCTGGTTTTCTGAATGAAAAGATGGACTAGCAAGCCTGTGTCTTTCTTGCAAAGCTATCTGAGGCAATGGTTTAATATGTGCTTCGACTGGGACCTTACCTGCAAAATGTTCAGAGCCCTTCGCATGTCCCCATTGGACAGAGTGACAAGAGCCTTCATTCCATCTTCACTTATATCAACTCTGCAAGAAAAAGGGCAAAAGTGGCTAACAAAAGCCCCTTAGAATGTAAGAATCTGCTATGGGAACAGATGTTGTTGAGTGATTAGGGCTTTAAGAAAGAGTAACAGTGAAACAGAGCCAACGCTCTGGATCTAGGACTATTCCAGTGCTTAGGGACGCAGGTTCATATGAGCAGGTGTAGTCCATCCGAACTCTAATGGAGGATTAAGGCCTGGAGGAAGTGGCTTTCTCTGAGCAGAAAGAGCCATCACAGGGCTGCTTGGCTGGCTACTTGCTTGGCCTCCTGTCACCAGAATGTGTCTCAGAACCTAATGGAGGGACTCAGAGCAGGCAGTTCAGAGACAGGGGCAGCTTCTAGGAAGGAGGGTGGGTTCAAGAAAAAGTAGATGGCTCATGAGGCAGAATCTGTATCCCAGAGCAAACAACTGTGGTCCCCAAGGCTTCCCTTGTGCTAGGCACTCTGCTGTGTCACCCAGGGCCTCTATGCCACTCACCCCCAAGACTCTTGCCCTTCCTTATTGTAAAGTGACTCACTTCTCTTCTTCTACAACATGTTCCAGGCGGGGAACCATGAGTTCAGGTGTCAGGGGACCAAATCGGAACCTCGTGCACCTGGACTGCAAGGCAGGGATGATCTTGGACAGATAGTTACAGATGAGGCAAAACCTGGTATTTTCCGTGAACTTCTCAATCACTGGTGAAAGAAAGCAAACCACCTCATATCAAAGCCTACTCTGGTTTTTTGGAGGACCTAAAGTGCTGTCACAGGGAGGGTACAGGAAGACTTACCATGACAAAAAGTGGGGAGCTACCTACAAGTGGGAGTCAGCAACAGGTCTAGCTCAGCCACCATCCTATTTTTTTCTTTTTGGCCTTTTTTAAAAAAAAACATTTTTATTTTATGTGTATGAGTGTACTGCCTGTATGTAAGTGCACCCATGTCATGCAGTGCCTGCAGAGATCAGAAGAAGCTGTCAGAGTCCCTGGAAATGGAGTTACAGATAGTTGTTAGCCACCATGTAGGTGCTGGAATTCAAAGCTGGGTCCTCTGCAAGAACAGCCAGTGCTCTTAACCTCTGAGCCATTTCTCCAGCCCCCTTTTGGAGACAGGGTCTCCCTATAGCCCCAGATGGCCTGGAACACGCTATATGGACTAGGCTGGTCTCAATATCACAGAGATCTACTTGCCTTTGCGTTCCGAGTACTGGGACTAAAGGCATGCATCACCACACCCAGCTCTGTTGTTTACTTTTGACACAGGGTCTCACTCAATAGCCCAGGTTAGCCTCAAACTGCAGGTGATCCTCCTGCTGAAGCTTCCTGAATGCTGGAATTACAGGCATGAGCCAGCTTGCCACTGTACTGTCAAAGCCAATGAACATATAGCACTTCTCTAAGATTTCACAAAATGCACCATTTTTTCTAATTAAAAAAAAAATTTTTTTTGAGACAGGGTCTTGCCAGCTGCCTACAACTCGCTGTACAGACCAGGCTGGCCTCAATTTCAGAGATCTGCCAGCCTCTACTTCCTGGACGCTGGGACTAAAGAGGTGTATCACACCATTGAAAACACTCAAGGGAGCAACAGCCAGAGCTGAGAGATGCACAGGACACTACTGTCACTCTGCAGGGATCCAGTGTCCCTGCACAGGAATCTGCCCACACCCACACTGACAGTCACTCTGCAGAGCAAGATGCTGAAGGAAGGCTGCCAACATTCTCAGGACCAGAAGATAGTCCAACTGTCCTCCCCCTCCCTCCTCCTCTCTCCAACCGGTACTGCAATTCCCTCCTTCCCAGACTCCTGCAGTTGCTCTTCTCCCACGGTCAAGTCTCTCAGCATCTTAGTGAGAGATGCTCACTAAGAGTCCATAAAAAGAAAGGGGCTGCACTGGTGCCATTCCACAGGACTTACTCCCCTCCCAGTTGCTCCCTCGACAAACTGAAGGAATGCCAGCTGAGGCCACACTTCTCTTTCCTGCTGGGTATATTTTGTGCTGGAGAGTACCTGGCAGAATCTGTCCAGTAGATTAGGAATTTAAGTCTTTCTGTATTCCCCCCAGATTCCCAACCTGAACTAAACCTGGTAGTGGAGGAGGATGAAATGCCAAAACCCAGCCAAACTCAGGTCCTGGCAGGGCTTCTATCTTTCGGCTACTGAAGGGGACTTGGCTATGGGTCAGTCTTGTGTAAGATCACCAGGTATACAGACGTACCTCCTGACCAGAAGATGATCTCAGACCCAGAATTCCTAGCTCTTTTCAGTACGTATACTCCTCAGTCAACACACCACAATAAGCAGCAATTCTTACCCCGCCTCAAAGCATTCTGGGCATCTTGAGTCATGGCATCGGCTTCATCCAGGATAACGAGTTTAAACCCTTTCCTAGGAAAGCAAACGCATGCCTGAGATTTCTTCAATCTCACTTTGACACCTACGCCAGTCTACATCTTACATTCGGGATACCTCATCATGTATCCATCTCTCCCAGAACTCTAAGGAAGGCTCATGCCTGTGGTCACACAGACAGGAAATGCCCCAGCATGCCTCCACCCCTTAGTGAGAAGTGAGTTCTAACTTCTTTAGTATAGTATTTTGTGTCTGCATCTTCGTTCCTCACAGTTCCCTACTGCTAGCCATTTGTCAGTGGGGCTGGGGCTGGAACCCAGGGCTCTGTGTATGCTACGTATGAACTTTATCATGGAACCACACCCGCAGCCCCACAATCTGCCTTTCCACCTCCTCCACATATACCCAAGGCTTTTTACCTTTTCCTTTTTTTAATAAAAAATGTTTAAATTGCAGGGCTGTAAAGATGGCTCAGCAGTTAAGAACACTGACTGTTCTTACAGAAGACCTGGGTTCGAATCCCAGCACCCACATGGCAGCTAACAACTGTCCGTAACTCCAGTTCCAGGGGATCCAACAGCCTCTTCTGTCCTCCGAGGGCATTGCACGACACAGGTGCACTTACCTACATGCAAGCAATACATGCATACACATAAAATAATAATTAAAATTTTTTTTTTTGCTGGGTGTGGTGGCGCACGCCTTTAATCCCAGCACTCGGGAGGCAGAGGCAGGCGGATCTCTGTGAGTTCAAGGCCAGCCTGGTCTATATAGCAAGTTCCAGGACAGCTGGGGCTACAGGGAGACCCTGTCTCAAAAATACCAAAAAAAATAATAATAATTTTTTAAAAATTGCATTCATCTTGTGTGGGTAGGTTCGAATGCCACAGTGCACATGTGGAGGTCAGAGGATGACTTGTGGGAGTGGTTCTCTCCTTCCACCATGTGGGCCTCAGGGATTGAGCTCAGGTCGTGAAGCTTGGCAGTAAGTTCCTTTCCCTGCCGCGCCATCTCACCAGCCTAGCCCCTCTTTTTATTTTGACCACTCCACCAGCTATCCTTCCTGATTTCAATGATTTCTGTTCAAATTCAAACCAACTCATCTAGTCTTGTATGCAATTTCTCCTCAGCTAACTTCCACCGTGGAGTTGGTGTTCCCGAAAGTGCTACACCCGAAGATTCAGGCAGCATTTACATTATACTTGTCACCCTCATCCTTTTCTGCTTCTGACAAACTCATGCTTTATCTTTATAATCTGACCAATGAGAAGATCAAAAATGAAAAAAATCACTTCCCAATCAAAATCTCGAGGGAGAGAGATTATACAAATCATTCTTACTTAAAGATTGTTCTTGTACTGGCAAAGCTCAGGATTGGTCCCCGAACGATATCGATTCCGCGGTCATCTGAAGCATTCAGCTGCATGTGAAGAGGGAGGCTACAGTGAAACATACATGGCTTGCTAGCTCAGAATTCCTGGCTTGACGGGATGTCTTTAGCAACCCAGTGGTAGTATTAACTACTGTCTGGGTCTAATATCGGCTAAGATACAACCATTAAAAAAATCATTTGTGCTTAAACCTCACTAAACTATCACCTTATGTCCATGCTGTCCCACCCAACAAGGACCATTTCCACATAAATTTATGAAATAAATATAGGCCTAGTCAGCCCAAGCCAGTTCCTCTGCAACAAGCAAACCGGTGCTAATTTTAGTCATCCTAACACAGAGGCCATGTCTTACATAAACCGAAGTAAGAAGAATACTAATAGCAATGGGCTAAGACCTCTGCCAAATGCTTTTTTCTGAGACAGGGTTTCATGTAGCCCAGGCTGTCTTTGAACTCCCATTGTAGTTGAGGATGACCTTGAACTTCTGATACTCCTGTTTCCACTTCCTAAATGCTAGGATTATAGGTATGCAATGCAATACGATCAGTGTATTTGATACTGAGGATCAAACCAGGGCTTGGGCACAGTAAGCCAGGACTCTACCAACTAAATTCTTGCAGAACACATTTAGAATTTTGAAATCTAAGGGTAGCAGTCAAGGTCCCAAGGATATATAGATGGTGTATTTGATCTGAGGACGTTAACCTAAGCACTACACAGACCCTGTTGGCCAAACCCAACCAGGATCCAGAAAGCCAGAGAGCCTGTGGCCAATACAGCTTGGCTTCCTGGGCAGCTGGAGTAAACAGAACTAAAGAGAATGGAGGCTTCAGGTACTGCAGAGTGAGAATCAGCCCATTCACCTCCAAGACCATGGAGCCCAATTCTTTCTCTCTGTACAGCTGCTTAGCACAGGCCAGGATGGTGGATGTCTTTCCTGTCCCTGGAGGACCATAGAGAAGCAGGTGTGGCAGGCGGTCTTCGCTGATGAACTTCTGAACTAAGGATCAGGAGGACAGAGAGAAAACATCAGTCTTTGCAACCCACACATTTATGAAAGACCTTGAATTGGCTAAATGCACTTTAAATAACCCCTCACAATGTCCAAATCAGAGACAGGCACAAGGAGGGAAAATCTTTAAGTGGTTTCAATAGGTCTTCCACAAACTCATATGCTCAATTCTTGGTCCCCAGCTAGATATCTTAGGAGGTTCTCCAAGGGCAGAGGCACAGCCTGGTTGGAGCAAGCAGGTCACTAGAGGCATGTCTCTGAAGGTTATACCTGGCCCCCAGTCCCTTCCTAGCTCTCTACTTCCTGCACTAGGAGGTGAACAGCCTCTCTCTCTACATGACCCTATCAGTGTTCTGCCTCATCAAGGGCTGAGAGTCGATGGAGCCAAGGACTATAGACAGAAGCCTCTGAAACCATGAGCCAAAATAATTTTTTCCTCCTTTAAAACTGTTTTCTTTGTGGGGACTGAAGAGATGGCTCAGCAGTGAAGAACATGTACTGCTCTTGGAGAGGACCTGAGTTCAGTTCCCTGTACCCAAGTCACAGCTCATAATCACCTGTAATCCCAGCTTCAAGGAACCCAACACCCTCTTCTGGCCTCCATAGGCATCTACACTCACATGGATCCACACACAGATACACATAATTAAAAAAAAGATCTTTACAGAAATTGTCTTCGTAGGTTATTTTGGTCCCAACTACAAAATATAGCACACCAGTCTACAAGGCTCATCAGATCCTCTAGGACAACACTCAGCAGAGACGACACCACCAACACACAAATACAAGTCCTCCCAGATAGTAACAGCAACAGACACAAGGATACTCACTGGTACTCAGAATGTCCTGGTGAGAAATGAGATCATTCAGTGTTTGCGGCCGGTACTTTTCAACCCTGAAACACCATTTAGCATTTGTTACAGCATATATAAATGCAAGCATGTTTGGCTATGTGTAAAGGAATGCTTTCATGTCCCAAGTAAAACAGGAGAGAAACAAGCCCTTCACATTTGACTGCAGACTGGTGGTTCTCAATCAGGTTTTGTCCTCCAAGGGCAACTGGTGACAGTTGTTACAACTGGACAGAGGGTGTGACTAGCATCTGGTGGGCAGGTGCCAGGGGCTTTGAACATCATACATGCACAGAACAGCTCCCCTGTTGCTCCTAGACAGTGCCTCCAAGTGTCAACAACTCTGAGGTTCACCAATTCCGCTGCAACCTCACCTTTCCATCTGTGTCTAGTCTCAACTTGGATGGGTTTACTGCTATGTCACCTTGAATTTGAACTCATACTCAAATATCCATCAACAGTGAGTCAACCGGTAGCATGTTGCTGCCTGCATGCAATGCAGTTATATTTGGCTATGAAAAGGGAACTAGGCACTGAACCATGCCACAATTCAGAACTCTGAGTTCGAGAAGCTAGACTCAAAAGGCCACACAGTATGATTATGCTCCTGTGAAATAGGCCAGTCCACAGACAGGAAACAGATGAGTGACTGCTTGGGGTTGGAAGAAGGGGAAAGTAAGTAAGTTCTGAGGTGGTGAACTTGGAAGTTTCCCTCAATCAAACCAACTTTCATCAGTCTATAAAATTTACACTGTATTTTATGTGTGATCCAAAACAATTCTTCCTCTAGCGTAAGCCAAAAAACCCAAAAGGCGGACAGCCCTACCTTTAAGTGCCAATAATTGAAGTAAAACCGTTAAGAACATAAGGTCTGAGGCTGGTGAGATGGCTCAGCAGATAAAGATGCTTGCCACCAAGCCTGACAGGCAGCGTTTGAACCCCAGGACCCCCACATGGTGGAAGGAGAGAATCACCACCCGGACCCCGCAGACAAACAGAATCTATACATAGAAAATGAATGCAACCTCTGAATTTGGACTGAGTTCAAATCTAAGCCTATTTCTCTGAAGGATGCAGCTTCCTTGTATGTAAAACTAAAAACAAACAAAAATAGAAACTACCTCAGGATTCTGGTAAGCACAAGGCATCTAAAACGAGACCTTAAGCTCATGGAGCGGCCCTTCTGTTATTGCTCTAGTTTAAAACAAGATGCAGGGACTGAAGAGATGGCTCAGCAGTTAAAAGAGCACCGGCTGTTCTTACAGAGGACCCGGGTTCGATTCCCAGCACCCATGTGGCGACTAACAACCTTCCATAACTCTAGTTCCAGGGGATCTGACGCCCTCTTCTGACCTCCCTGGACACTGCACGACACAGGTGCACTTACATACATACAGGCAATACAACCCGTACACGTAAAATAAAAATAATATTTAAAAAGAGACACGGCGGCCCGGCTTCAGGCCCACGCAAGTCCGAGGCCACAGACGCTCCCCAGGTGGCCCTCCATGCAGGCCACCGAGCACCCGGGCTGCTGCGGGTGGGGTCCACAACGCTAGAGCGGAAGCGGGGATGCGGGCGGCACGTGGCGCCTCTCCTACCAGGGCAGGTTGCGGAGCCGTGCGGCCGCGGGCTGCAGCGTAGGCGCCGAGGCCTCCATGGCGGGACCGAGGCGCGCGGGAACCGAGCTCGGCGCCGGCCTCGGAGTTCGCGCGCAAACGCAACCCTCGCGAGGCTTCGCCTACCGCTTCCGACTTCCTCTAGCGGTCCCGCCTCCTGCCCGTTGCAGAGGCGCTGGTTGCTAGGTTGTAGGGGGCGGGAGCCTTCCGCCTCCCAGCCGCACTGGCTTCCCGAGAGACCAGCCCGGACCGCCTGCGGGCAGCCTGGACGTAGCTCCAGAGGAGAAACAGTCCGGCGGATGGGGGTGGGGCCCAGGGCGCCTGGAGTCCATGCCTAGTGACGCATGCTGCAACACACACTCACACATACTAACAAACACACATACGCATGTACACACACATATATACACAAACATATACTCACACATATACACACATATGAACACACACACACGCACACGCACACGAGAGATGCCCATGGGAAAAAAACCTGCAATGCCTTTCAGCCCCAAACAGGAAAGTGAATGCTTAGAAGTGAAAATTCCAAACACAGCTTCCACCTACCTATTATTCTGAACTAACCCCCACCCAACGAACTTTAGAAGAGCAACTTCCAGAAACCTAGTCCATAATGCAAACATAAAGCTAAACTTCTAGTTGGGCTAGGGTATGTACATGGGATAGGAATAGTTCATGGACACATACAACACAGGTCTCTCTACTCAGCACTGGGAGGATGAGGCAGGAGGATCATGAGTACAAGACCACATAGTCTCTGTGTGTGTTTATGCACATATATGTATTTTTCCTGAAGTGAGGGGATTCCATGCTAGTTTTTTTTAAATATTTCATTTATTTACTTTTATGTTATGTATATGAATGTGTGCCCCCCCCCCCGCACAAATTTAAATGCACCTTGTGTGTGCTATGCCTCAGCAGGCCAGAAGAGGGTGTCAGATCCCCTGGAACTGGACTTAAGGTTGGGTGTTAATTTATTTATTTATTGAGATGGGGTTTCCCTGTAGCCCCAGCTGACCTGGAACTGGCTACATAGACCAGACCGGCCTTGAGATAGGGACCTGCCTGCCTCCTGAGTGCTGAGATTAAAGGTATGGGCCACCACACCTGGCTGTTTGATTTTTGAGAAAGATTTTCATTCTATTGCCTAGGCTGGCCTGGAGCTCACTATGTAGCTCAGGCTAGCCTTGAACTCCCAGCAATCTCCCTGCCTTCAGCCTCTCAAGTGCTGGGAAATAAAGTCTTTAAAAAATTATTTATGTTTATGAGATTTTGTCTGCTTATATGTAAGTGCACCACCTACATGCAGTACCTGCAGAGGCCAGAAAAGGGCATTGGATCCCCTGGAACTGGAGTTACAGATGATTATTAGCCACCATGTAGGTGCTTGGAATAGAACCTGGGTCCTCTTCAAGAGCAGACAGTGCTCTTAACCACTGAGCCATCTCTCCAGCCCCAGAACTAAAGACTTTAAACACCACCACCACAAAGAACAAGATGAAAACACCAGGAAGAGACAAGGCTGCTGGGGGAATCAGTGGGTGGAGGGGACTAAAATACCATTGTCACCTGCTTTAGGGATAGGGGAGGACAGAGGGCTACACAGGATAGCAGTCGGTGTTGCACCCATGCCCCCATATCGCACCCAGAGGATGGGGGTCAGGGCTGGGAATGTGGCTCAGTCGATAGAAAATGAATACCTGGAATGCGTAGAGCCCTGGGTTTGACCCCCCAGCACCACATAAAATCACATGTGGTATTATACAGGCCTGTAATCCCAGAGCTGGGCAGGTGCAGCCAGGAGGATCAGATATTCAAGGTCATTCTTGACTACTTATTAGGTTCAAGGCCAGCCTGGTCTACATGAGACCCTGTCTCAATGTAACAAAACAGAAGAAGGGAGTCAACTGAGGCTCTAGATATGACAGTACCCCCTCTCTGCTTCCTCTCTAGACCAACTTGTAGCCTAATTCCTCAGATCATTAGCATGTGGTTTTCACCTCTTGGCTTGGGGCAGGTTGCAATACCTACTCACTATCAAGGACAGGGCTCAACAGCAGAGAATGCTAACACTAAAATCTACTCAAACATGGCCATGAGGGTCGACAGTCACATACAGAGCACCTGGCACAGTGCCACACTCCTCTTCCTTCTAGAGCACTCTACCCATTGTAATTTTTTTACATATGTTTTCATCTCAAACAGGGGTTTGTGATGCTATGCCCTAGTGGCCATGCAATTTCGCCATTATGCTGAGAATAATCCTTTGCATGGTGCTGTCTCCTCCTTGACCTAGAAGAGTCAGACAAGACTGGAACAAATTCTTAGGGCTGGGAGGATTTCTCAGTGGGTTAAGTCCTTGCCAGGCAAGCATAAGGACCTGATTTTGATCTCCAGCACCCACATAAAAAGCCAAGCGTGGTAGTACATGTTTGTAATGCTGGCACTTGAGGAGGCAGAGAATGGAGGACCCTGGGACTCACTGGCCAGCCAGCCTAACCTAATGGGTAGCACATGCCTCTAATCCTAGCACTTGGGAGGCAGAGGCAGGTGGGTCTCTGAGTGTTAGAAGTCAGCCTGGTCCACATAGCCAGTTCCAGGCCAGCCAGAGAGCTACATAGTGAGACCCTATCTCAAAAAGCAAGCAAACAAAAACCACAAAACCCCACACAACCCCCCCCCAAAATAAACAAAAAAATGTCTGGCCCTATAGGCAGACCCTGAGCATCCTGCTGGGTATGACTTTCCTTAAGATAAACCGGGTATATTCCAGCCTGGATGAAATAATGTTTCATATATATATATATATATCCTCTTTCTGACTCAAATGGTGGAGATCTGCTGATCTTACTGCTTTCCAGAATCAAGCCTACATCAGTAAGTACCCCCTATAGACTGCATTCTGTAATTCTAGAAGTGTCTGCATGCCTTTCTTTCTTTTTTCTGAGACAGAATCTCACGATGTAGTTCTAGCTGACCTGGCTCTCATGTTGTAGACCAGGATGGCCTGGGATGCACAGATATCTGCCTGCCTCTGCCTCCTGAGTGCTAGGATTAAAGGGGTGTACCACCTTTATATCTTTCTTTGGTCTCACAACATCTAAGTTGGTCCTTATACTCCAGGACTGGGCTGCTCTGAAACAAGATTGCTTGGCATGCAAAATCTGTCTGAGGAGGATGGTGCTATATACTGATGAAGCAGTTATCTATTGTGCACCTTACAGTGGACTACAGCTCACTGAGAGGAGACACTTTGGCTACTAACCATACACCAAGTGCCTGGAACACTGCTTGGCTCAAGGGAAGCAAGCACTCAATAGCCACTGAATGAATGAATGAATGAATGGTAATAGCTATTGTCCGTTAGGCTGTTACTATGATCCAGACAGTGTTCTGTGTACTTTCCTTTTATTATACACATACACAGTCCCAATTTATTATGGTTCAACTTAAAGTTTTCAGCATATGAGTTCTCAACGTTATGATGGGTTTATTAGGATATTTAGTGCGCTTTTGACTTGTGTATTCTGCTCTATGATGGACTTACTGGAGTTTAGACCCTATCTAAGTCAAGGAACATGGGTACATGCTCAGTTGTAAGCTACCATCATGTCTTGTTGCAGATGTGTTAAGTAACTGCTTGCTTTGCATTGGTCAGAACGAGGTCTTACCAAGGATCTAATTCTAAAACCTGAGTTCTCAGCCATGATACCAGTGAACCAAGGGCCAGCAGCAGTCACAGCAGCTACATCCCCTGGGAACTTGTTGGAAATGGTAATTACCCTCCCCCCACTTATAAACTCATCCAATCTGAAACTCCAGGGCTGTGGCCCCACCTGTGCAGTAATGAGCCCTCCAGGGGATTCTGACTGGACGTTCACTTGGCCCTACTGCTTCTCCATCTTTGCACTACCCTTGACTTCCCTTTCTAAGAAAAACAATGGGAATTATAATAAAAACAAAAACTTTCACCAGTTGGGTTTAATGAACTAGTTGCCTTTATTAGCATACACACAAGTCAACCAGGACCCTGTCTATGAAGTAGGAGGAACTCCCAGAGGAGGAGGCAGGCTTCTTAACCTCATGAGGTAGAAGAAATCAGAGGCAAGAGATAAAAAAAATGGGGTGGTCATTTCAAAGTTACTTTCCTATAATAGTTTCTTGTCTTATTGCTGTGACATAATGCCTGACAAAAGAAATTTATGGAAGGAAGGGTTTATCTTGGCTCATGGTTGAGGGTACATGGCAGGGAAAGCGTGGCAGCCAGAGTGTGAGGAGGCTGTTCACACTGGATCCCTAGTCAGGAAGCAGAGGGAGATGGATGCTGGTGCCCAGCTTACTTTCTCCTTTTTACAGTCTGGTCCATGCAATGGTGCTGCCCACATTCAGGTGAATCTCCGCACCTTAACTAACCCTGTCTAGATGCTGTCATTTAGAATGGCTCTAGGCCAGGCAAGGTGGCACACGCCTTTAATCCCAGCACTTGGGAGGCAGAGGCAGGTGTATCTCTGTGAGTTCAAGGCCAGCCTGGTCTACTTAGTGGGCTCTGTTTTCTGGACCAGTCAATGCAGACAGAAAATCATTTTAAAATATTTTTTAAAGCTTATTTTGCTTTTTAGGTTCTGTGTGTGTGTGTGTGTGTGTGTGTGTGTATGGAGGCCAGAGGCTGGCCTGGTTTCTTCCTCTATCGAGTTCTCTGCCCTATTTTTATTTTTTTTGGATAGAGTCTCTCACTGAGCCTGAGCTTACTTCTGTGGCTAGACTGGCTGGCCAGTGAGCCCCTAGATCTGCCTGCGTCCACCCCTGGTATTGAGGCTACAGGCTCACACCACTGTGCCTGTGCTGAGGAATCAGGTTCTCATACTTGTGCGGCAAGCCCTTTACATGCTGAGCCCTCTCTCCAGCCTGTACTAGTTATTGAAGACTTGCACTTGTATGGAACATGTGCAGGCGTCTCTCCTCACTGTTCCCTAAATGAAAAGGCGTGGCAGCTTTTTACATAATATTTCCATCACACTGGGGATTGTAAGCCAGCTAGAAATGAGTGTGAGTCAATGGGAGGAAACCACAGGTTCTGTGCACATGTTCTTCCCTTTCATGTGAGGAGTCAAGGCTCTGGA